TTACTTCTAAAACATTCAGAAAGTTAGAAGGGACTATCTTTATTACTTCATCTAAAACAATACGCAAAAAAGGCTTCGCTGTCCAGGAATAGAAATCCTCCCCTCTGCCCCAGAGATGGCAGCAGCGGCAGTAGCCTGCGCACGGCTGCGCCGAGACGGCGACCCTCAGCTGGAACTACAACTCCCAGCAGCCCTGGCAGACAGCGGGCCCAGCGCGCCTGCGCAGTGACGGGGCTCCGGCTAGCCGGTTCCCGCCAAGTCTGGGAGCGATCCTTCCGTGGCCGAAAGCCGTGCTCCATGGAAACTTTTGACCCTGCCGAGCTGCCCGAGCTACTTAAACTGTATTACCGGAGGCTGTTTCCCTACGCCCAGTACTACCGCTGGCTCAACTACGGCGGAGGTGATGCGGCGAGGAGGCGGGGGGCGGGGTAATGCTCGCGAGCTTGGGGCCGGGGGTCCTTGCGGTGACATTACGAACTGTGCGCTGGGCGCTTTGTCGCGGAGCCACCCGGAAGGGGGAAGTGGCCCAGAGAGGCTTTCAGGGCCCATCTGCGGCCACACGGTGGAAGCCGCGGCCGCTTGTGCGCGGGCAGGCCCACTCTAGATGCTCGGTTTACCTGCCGCGGAGCCCGAGCCTGGGCGTTGCTGGGTTCCTCGTGTAGCCTCAAGTCCCGGCTCTAGGTCGCATCAGGAGGGTTAGGAAAGCGAAGTGGCATTCGATTGTCAAAAGATATTTCTGCATGTTCCCCCCCTCGTTTTACTTTTCCCTGAAAGGTGCAGCGGCGTGACGGTACACCTCTTCGAATGAGGAGCTTCAGTGCTCTTTTCTTTTTTGAACGTTCTAGCTCAGTGTTGGGTTAGCTAAATGTCCGATCATTCCTCAACGGTTATAATGCTCTGGGCCGAATGAAGTTATCAGATTCGCTTTAAAATGTGACCTTCTTTTGCAGTGGTAAAGAATTACTTTCAACACCGTGAGTTTTCGTTCACATTGAAAGATGATATTTACATTCGATACCAATCCTTCAACAACCAGAGCGATCTGGAAAAGGAGATGCAGAAAATGAATCCATACAAGATTGATATTGGCGCGGTCTATTCCCACAGAGTAAGAAATGGTCATGTCATGTGTTTCCTTGTTTTGTTATTGAACCAAGCCTGGGTTGGTGCCCCCAGGATTTGGTGTAAAGTTTTTATAGCGTTTTCAAGTTGAGGGGATACCTGCAATGTTTGTTTACTGCTTTTGCAACTAGATCCTCATCTTGCTGTTGTTCTTGGAGGGGCTGATACTGATTGGAAAGCATTTGGGAATTAACAGTCTTTCTAAGTCAAAAACTAGGTCAAAAGACTGAATGCAGACATCAACATGGATTCGGGGAATGAAGAGAGCTGTATTCCTTCTAGCATTAGAATCACTCTCGACGCTTCCTTCCTCTCACAGTCCACCTCCATTCCATTAGGCCCTACTGTTAGATATCTCTAGAATCCAGTCACTGCTACCATCATCCTCTCTTACTTGAAATTACCGTAAAACCTAACCATTCTGAAGCAGCTCCTTATTTCCCTCAGAGTAATAGCCCTTCTCTCCCTTGACCATTAGTCCACTGCAGCCACACTTGCCCCCTGGCTCAAGCTGTTTCTACTGCCTAGAACCCATTTTCCCAGACAGCTGCTTGGCTCATCACCTTCGCCTGCTTCAAGTCTGGTCAACGAGCATTTTCTTAATGAGGTTGCAACCTGTGACTGCTCCCAACCCCTGCCACTGATAATATCCTAGATGTGCCTAGAGTATCTGGTAGCCCACAAATGTTTGTTGAACAGATGAATAAGCCAAGGTTCCTGTCTAAAAATAGTACACAGAGGATGACAGCTTTTGTATGGAGCTTTTCCCTGTACTGTATCACTTGTCATAGCCATCTTCCTTTTACAGTAGAGACAGCAGGCCCAGAGCATTTAGTTTGCCCAAAGGTAAGCAATTTTTAAAAGAGCTGGAACTTAAAGCCAAATTTTCTAACTTTAAATCCCAGGCTTGTCTACCACCTGCAGGGTAAAGGGAGAAAAGAAGAGGTGAGGGGAGGCAGGGGGAAAAAATGCTTCAGAGCAGGTTACTGAAGAATAAAACAAGTACCCAAAGGACCACGATTCTATTTAGTTTCCTTCTCTTTAACACTGAAAAGGGGGGGGGTTTCCCTCTTTCCTTTTCACCAAGACAGAGGCATCTGTAGATCTTTATATGTGTGCATGTGTTTTGCAAGGAGACTTGAGGGTTCAGTGGTAAAGCCCTCAGCTGTGAACCAGAAAGTTGGTGGTTCAAACTGATCAGCCAGCCCACAAGAGAACGATGTGGCAGTCCGCCTGCATGAAGAAGCACAGCCTTGGAAATCTCACGACAGGTCTACTCTGTCCTGTCGGGCTGCTACGAGTCAACTTGAGCTGATGGCAGTGGGTTTGTTTTGGTTTTTGGTATGTGTGTTGTGATTTTTATCAGTTATCGTCAGCAGTTTGAAACCACCAGCCACTCTGGCAAGGGAGAAAGACTGGGCTTTCGACTCCTGTAAATAGTTACAGCCTTGAAAACCCAAGGGGGCATGTCTATCCGGCACTGTAAGATCACTATGAAAAAAACAATTTTTTTTTTAAATTAAAAAGTCACTATGAGTCAGCATCAACTCGATGGCAGTGAGTTTTATATATGCTATTTTACAGAATAAAGTAGTTTTATAGGCATCTTAAAAAAAGTCTCACCACTTTCAACTGATTCTTATTTGTGTTATTATCTCTAAATAATAGAGTTCTCTGTACTTCATATTTCCCATTTTCATTGGTTTCCAATGCTTGAGTAGGATTTAGCTTTCTTTCGCCTCACCACCTTCTCTCACCACACACACAATCATCCCATTCCTAATTTATCGTGCACCTAATATAATTTTTTGTTAGATTAAGAATTAGCCTTAGATTACTAATTCAGCCCCAGTCGTTACCGATTGCCTAAACTTCCCAATGTGCTCAGACCCGTCAAGTGGTCACTCATCTTGAGGAATTTCTCCGGAGATTTCTGACCTCTCTGATCTGCATTGATCACGCTTTAGGCTGATGAACGCGTAGGGTTTTGTCATCTCGTTTAACGTCACTCTGGAGTCTGTTCATCTCGTTCCTATGTTGGACCCTGTTGCCCAGATCCTGGGTCCTCTTTCCTGCCTCCTTTGTTTTGATGGAACACATCTTCCAGAAGCTTCCAAGGAAAATGTATGCGGAAGATAAATATTGAGACACCTATGTATCTGAAAACGTCTGCACTGCAATTCCACCTTTCTACCTGACTCAGGTCTATGGTTGAGTTTGAAAGTCACTGACCCTCAAGATTGTGAGGTCATTGCCCCCCTGTCTTGTGCTTTCCAAGACTGCTGTGAAGAAGACTGGTGCCACTCTGATTCTTGTGCCAATGTTGGACCTGGAAGCTCTTAGGATTTTCTCTTTATTCCTAATACTCTAAAATTGCACAGTGCTGTGCACCTTTTCTTGTGTATTGTGTCAGATACCTAGTAAACCCTTTTTTTTTTTTTGGCAAACCCCTTCAACTAATTGCCTTCCCACCCTCCCCAGGCCACCATTTTACAGTCAGAGAAAGTGGAAGTATTGACAGATGGAGGAAGTGAAAGTATTTACAGATGGAGAGAGGGAAGCTCAGAGAGGTGACGTCAAAAGAACTTCCCCGAAGCCTAGCACCCGTGGATGAATTCACATACGTGTTACCTCATTTGATGAGCATCACCAAATTCACCTGGTGAACCCTTTCGATCATTAGGTCATGTCTTCCAATTCCAGGAAATTTTCCTTTTGTAGTTTTAGTATGAGGGACCTTCAGAACGTTTGTGGGGAAACCCCATTGTCTTTTTTCCCCCATTGTCTTTTTATTCCATTTTTCCATGAATGCTCTGAAGCCCTTGAATGTTTCTTCTAGAATTCCTGTAGTGTGATGTTAGGACATCTTGAACGGTCCTCTGCATCTGCCTTTGTTTTCCTCCTGTTTGCCTTCTCCTTCATTTCCAGGAAGAGCCTCCCCACCCCCCAGCTCGTATGTGATCAGTATTCTGTGAGAATATTTGTGATAGTTCTTCAGTGTTCTTCTAATACACAGCTTGTTTTCTCTAAGTTGCTTTTTTGTTATTTTTCTGTTGTGTTGTTTTCTGTGGGTGTTTTTCCCCCTTGTATTAGAGGCTTTCTTCATGTATCTGATAATTTCCTACTTATATTTAAGAATAGTAAACAAAACAGCTTATTAAATGACTGTTTTTCTTACAGGGGATCTCTGAGGGCAGTTTCTCGAGATCCTTTGCTAGGATGGAAACCCCACTAGCGCAGGGGTCTTTGTTTTAATCACTAATCTGTTCCTCAAACAAGTAGCGGTCCCTAAAACACTTTGTAATGGGGCATTAATTATTTGTATGTACTTTATATTATCGGAACCTTAACGCAGTCTTATTAATGTTTCTATCAACAGTACTAGAGTAAATCAAAAGGTATTGCTACAAAATCAAATAAACTAAACAGAAGTATCAAAATATTGTTGTTGACAAACTATTGTTCCTCAACACATCCTCCATCTAGGTCTATGTAAGGGTGCTTCCAAAAGTTTATGGAAAAAATGCAATTTAAAGATAATGGCGTTTTCCCACAAACTTTTTCAAGCTCCCTGTACACTTCTGAAAGCAGTGTTTCCATCTCTCGGATCCTTCCCCAAGGAATTCTATGCTCTTTGATAGACACCATGTCCAAACAGCAGTTTGGGGATCCTGCAGGGACTCAAATCATGTTCCTTTGAAATGCTCTTGGAGCTTTTAGGAAAAAAAGGAGTCTGATAGGCAAGGTCAGGATGGTAGCGTTTCGCAGTGAAATTCCTGTTGGATCGTCCCTGCTACCCTCAAAGAATGAGCAGGGGCATTGTTGTGATGGGAAACAGTTCCTCCTTGCAACTTACCTGGTGTCTTTCTCACCAACGCTGTTTTCAGATTGCTTAAAATTTATTCATAATAAGCTCCCGATTGTCATGTGCTCTTTGAAAACTCTTTCAAGATTACTCTTTTGGGTAGCAGATGGACATTGGGCCCCTACTCAAGTACTCCCTCAACGCAAGAACACTTTGTTCTATTAACCTGGCATTCCAGGATGCTCACCTGCTCAACATGATCACTGAAGACAAAATGGGTGCATAAGCAAATGTGAAGAAAACTGATGGTGCCCGGCTATCAAAAGATAAAGCATTTGGGGTCTTAAAGGCTTGAACATAAACAAGCAGCCATCTAACTCAGAAACAACAAAGCCCGCATGGAAGAAACACACCAGCCTGTGTGATCACAAGGTGTCGATAGGATCAGGCATCAAAAACCCAGAACAAAAATTACATTGTGAATGAGGTGGAGTGCAGAGTGGAGACCCAAAGCCCATCTGTAGGCAACTGGACATCCCCTTACAGAAGGGTCACAGGTAGAAAATGAGCCAGTCAGGGTGCAGTATAGCACCAATGAAACATACAACTTTCCTCTAGTTCTTTAATGCTCTTAACTTCCCAATGTGCTCAGACCCGTCAAGTGGTCACTCATCTTGAGGAATTTCTCCGGAGATTTCTGACCTCTCTGATCTGCATTGATCACGCTTTAGGCTGATGAACGCGTAGGGTTTTGTCATCTCGTTTAACGTCACTCTGGAGTCTGTTCATCTCGTTCCTATGTTGGACCCTGTTGCCCAGATCCTGGGTCCTCTTTCCTGCCTCCTTTGTTTTGATGGAACACATCTTCCAGAAGCTTCCAAGGAAAATGTATGCGGAAGATAAATATTGAGACACCTATGTATCTGAAAACGTCTGCACTGCAATTCCACCTTTCTACCTGACTCAGGTCTATGGTTGAGTTTGAAAGTCACTGACCCTCAAGATTGTGAGGTCATTGCCCCCCTGTCTTGTGCTTTCCAAGACTGCTGTGAAGAAGACTGGTGCCACTCTGATTCTTGTGCCAATGTTGGACCTGGAAGCTCTTAGGATTTTCTCTTTATTCCTAATACTCTAAAATTGCACAGTGCTGTGCACCTTTTCTTGTGTATTGTGTCAGATACCTAGTAAACCCTTTTTTTTTTTTTTTGGCAACCCCTTTCAACTAATTGCCTTCCCACCCTCCCCAGGCCACCATTTTACAGTCAGAGAAAGTGGAAGTATTGACAGATGGAGGAAGTG